TCTTGGTGTTGATCAGGCTGGTGTTCTATTGAAGAAACAACATGATTTTTTTCTCCAGTTGATCTATTCCATATTTAGGAAAAACAAATTGCCTATTTGTATTTATGGTTTTATTACAGTTTGATATGAGGAATACACACTGCTGATAAATGGCAGTAGATAGACTGATGAAGACTCTGTGACATATTACAATTGAAAAAGGAAAACAGACCTATCAATCTTTTCAATACTTTATGTAGTGTTCTAAGTATTGAACTCTGGAACTTACCTGAGCTGAACTCTCTCACTGGCATCCAGAAGCTCCTGCTCAGCCACTTTCCTCGACCTCTCTGTCTGCTCCAGGGCTGCCCTTAGCTCCTCAACCTCAGCCTGCAGCAGGTTTGCTCTGCGCTCCACCATGGCCACCTGCTCCTTCAGGTCTTCCTGAGTCCTCAGAGCATCGTCCAAGTGCAGCTGAGTGTCCTGGATAAAGTGGTAAGACAGATCAGGATTTTTCCTACTTTTATATTTCTCATGTTCATATCAATATAGAATTGATAGAATTGTAGGACAGGAAAAATTTTAGTTGTGTCAGAAACCAGTGAGGACTTGGGTTGTTGTATCATACCTTCAGCACTCCCTGTGTGTTTCTCAGGTTGTGTGTTTCTCAGTTTCTTTTGTGCCTCTGCAGCCACACGGTTGGCATGGCTGAGCTGAATCTCCATTTCATTCAGGTCTCCCTCCATCTTCTTCTTGAGTCTCAGGGCTTCGTTCCTGCTCCTGATCTCAGCATCCAGGGTGCTTTGCATGGACTCCACAACTCGGAGGTCGTTTCTCTTAAGCCCATCAATCTCCTCATCTTTCTCTGCTATCTTCCTGTCAATCTCAGACTTGACCTGGTTGAGCTCAAGCTGCAGGCGCAGGATCTTTCCCTCTTCATGCTCCAGGGAGGCCTGGACAAGAGAGAGGCACTCTCTCAATAAAAGGATGTTGTCCTACAGCTGTTTTATTACACAGTAAAATGGGACTGTTTTGCTCTGGATGATGTTGAAAACTGAAGCCCTGGCTGTCCTTGGAAGTCCCAATCCTTTATCTCTTACAGTGTTTCTCAGTACTTCTCACACAGGTGTACCTCAGCTTCCTCGAGGGAGGCTTGCAGTTCAGATTTCTCCTGCTCAATTTGCTTCTTGACTTTCTCCAGCTCATGAATTGCCTTTCCGCTCTCAGCAATCTGCTCCGTGAGGTCAGAAATCTCCTCTGTGGGAACAAAGATCAATGGTCAGGCACAGAGCAGAATGGGAAGGGCCCTGTCCCACCAAGGTGACAGGCACCTTTGTAGACCTTCAGACACAGATCCATGAGGAATGCTCAGTAAAAAAGTTTGTGAGAAAGCCCATCCAGGGGCAGAGGGTCAGGGACTTACGCTGCAAGTTCTTGTTCTCGCGCTTCATTGTTTCCAGGTGGTCCAAGGACTCCTCATAGGCATTCTTCATCTTGAACAGCTCCGTGCTGAGGGAGCGAGACTCCTTCTGGGAGGCTTCCAGCTCGGCCTGAGTTTCCTCATACTTCTGCTTCCATTCTGCCAGGATCTGAAGGGAAGTAAGATGTGAGTAGTGGTGTGGTGATCAGGAGGGAATGCTCTGCCCAGGAGTGCCAGGACTGGAGCCCAAAAGACCTTGTCAAAGTTCTTCTGCTTCTTATCCAGAGCAGCACAGGCAGCATTGGATCTCTCCACATCAATCATCAGGTCCTCCACTTCATTCTGCAGCCTCTGCTTGGTCTTTTCCAGGGAGGCACATTTGGCAGTGATAGCTTCCACATGTTCCTCTGCATCCTGCAGGCGCTGGGCCAGCTTCTTCCTGCATTAAGTGCAGATCATGGTTTGAGAACAAGAAGACGTTGTGATGTGTCACTGGTGGGCTTTTCCCAACAGGATGTTTTATCTTCAGTGGTAAGTACAGATGATATTTAATTACCTTCTGTGATGCTTTGCTCAGGAGCATAGTTAGCCATTCACAGTCTGTGCTCCATATTCCTTTTCTATTTGTCTGCATACTACCTTGTTTCTCTGCCTTTCACTGCACAGTGCATGTTTGCCTGTGACTTTTCTTCCCAAACCTAGTGCATTGCAGAATTAATTTGCTATACTTTTGTCACCACATCCCAAAGCAGAATAACGACTCCTTCATGACAATATCAAAGTGACCTCCTCAAACTTCTGTTGTTATTCTGCTATCATTTCCCACATTCCCCACGTACTTGGCTTCCTCCAGCTCCTCCGTGCGCTGAATCGCGTCCGTCTCGTATTTGGTTCTCCACTGAGCCACTTCGCTGTTGGCCTTGGACAGGGCTCGCTGCAGCTCCCCCTTGGCTTCCTGCTCCTCCTCATATTGCTCCCGGAGCAGGTCGCAGTCGTGGCGAGCAGACTGCAAGGCGTGGGCCAGGGCATTCTTGGCCTGCAGCAACAACAGTATTGGGTCAAAGAACAGAAATATCCTGGAAAATCTGACTGAGCTGTAATTGGACATGCAGTATTCTTCTATGCAAAATGACAACTATACATTCAATTGGGAATGAAGCTGAGACTGACGAAACAATGAATAAACCCTAGGGGAAAAGCTAACATGAGAAGACAAGCACTGAATTACCTAATTAGGGTTTTTCCTGTCTTATCATGATAGTTGAGTAGTCACAAAATTATCTGAAGCACCTCATAGAGGGGATGAATCTAATGAGTAAAACAGAGTATGGAAAGCCTTCTCACCTTTATCTCTTCCTCTAAGTGCCTCTTGAGTTCCTCAATCTGTTGGGTGAAAGCCTGTTTGCCTCGTGACAGCTGAGAAACCAAAGCATCCTTCTCCTCCACCTGGCGTGAATATTCACCTGGGAAAGGTTGCAGATGGACAATTTATTGCCACTGATGAGGATATTGTGGACATTTGGGGCTGTAAAACCAGACAGTTAGCAGACCTTGCTGAAGCCATTTCAAGCATTAGAGGGGAGATAATGAATGTTGTATGGACCATGTGCCCAGAAGACTCATTTTTGCAGTAACTCTCTGGCACAGAGCTGTACATCTAGGTGTCAGAGTCTCACCTGACTCTGTCTGCAGACGAGCTCTCTGAGTATTGAGGTCATTGATCATGCGCTGATGCTCTTCTTCCTTTGTCTTGAGCTCACTCAGCTGATCTTCCAGTGTGCGGCACATCTTCTCCAGGTTTGCCTGTGGAGATCAAAGAGAATGAATGAAGATTAGTATGTAGATGCCTCCTTATTCTGTAGAGCAGGATTCTAACTGGAAAAATGAGAACAGAGTTGCAAGGTGTGTCAGAATACAGAAAGTGATGCCATTGAGACTGAGAGTAGTAGGTGCAAAAGTTGTATTGTATTCCACTAGGTCAGTGAATCTATAAAGTCTTTGTGTACCTTACCTTGGCTTTGGAGACAGACTCCATGTTACTGGCCAGGTCATCAATCTCCATCTTCATCTCACTCTTCTCTTTCTCCAGTTTCTGCTTGACGCGTTGCAGGTTGTCGATCTGCTCCCCGAGCTCAGCGGTGCTGTCCGCGTGCTTCTTGCGCAGGGCGGCAGCCGTGGCCTTGTGCTGCAGCGTGGCCTCTTCGAGGTCACGGCGCATCTTCTGGAACTCTGCCTCACGCTTCTTGTTCATTTCAATCTGAGCTGTCGTGGCCCCTCCTGCTTCTTCCAGGCGCTCGCTGATCTCCTCGAGCTCCCTGGACAGGTCAGCCCGATGCTTCTCTGCTTTAGCGCGAGAGGTTCTCTCGGCCTCAATTTCCTCCTCCAGTTCCTCAATACGAGCCTGGAGAACATCAGGGACCCTTCACACCAGTGCCCTTCTCCTACCTGAACTGAGCCTGGGGCTGAGAGGGCAAGGAACAGAGACTTGCCTGCAGCTCCTTGATCTTCTTCTGAAATTGCAGACCCACAGCTTGTTCATCCTCGATTTTGCTCTGG